CACCACCTTGCCTAATATAAGGCTGATATAAAGGATTGGAAGACAGAAGAACAATCAACAGAGACAATGTTCCCCCTGAGTGAGCTGTCAGGGTATTAAAACCCATCAAGAATAACAGGATTATGAAATGAATGCAAACAGTGTTTTCCTATTTGCAGAAAAGCAAACATTGTTGCATTCAATTTTCTGCCATTGTTAATTTCTACTGTCTGTTTCTAGGCATGTTCTGGGTTCCGCAGCAGGGGTGTCAAAGCTCTACCCACCGCGTGTGACAGAAATAAATCTCTTCAGAAACTCAGTTCAACTGCGCTCAGGAGCTTGTAGAAAAGGAATCAAGGACAAAGCTTGGATGGAGATAACGTTTATAATTCATCAATCTGCTTAAAATACTTTCAAGTTATTAACAGTAGAATACCTCTAAGTACATAAATCAATCTTGAAGCAATATCCATTTTTACGATATTTGTCTTCCTCCATAAATTCACTGGGATTTTTCACCATTTGTTTATATCAATGTGTGACGGTTCTTTTGGGGAAATGGTGCAGATCACAGACAAGGACTCATTTTTTCCCTCCCTTTGTGGCAGGGCAAGATTTAATATGCAAATATAATGATTCTTTCCAAACAAAATTGAAGATACCCACTTATTTTCTAAATTTTATCCCTCTCTATATGTATCTAACAGATATATTTATATAAATATACAGAGTTTTTAACTACGCCTGTGATTTCTATGTGTTTCTATATTAATTATGAGTCTAAGAATCCTTTATCTATAGTTTCTATGGGTTTCTATTAACTACTCACACCTGTGTTAATTACCAGGGCTTAGTTGGCCCCATCCTTGGCCACTTTCTCATGTGGGGAAACTCCTCAGCCTGAGTTTTAGTCATGCTTTAGCCATCCCAAGTTTGACTATTTTGGCTGCTGGCTGGTATTTATTTATTTATTTGATTTACATGGCCACCCATCCCTCACAGGTCACTCTGGACAGTGTACAAGGATTAAAAAGACAAAAAACCCATGACATTTGTAGCTGAGGTACTGCAGGGACTTTAGTGTCTCGTAGACTCTGACCTGGGAAGGGGAAATTTGTAATCAGCACTAATTTGGCACCCCTGGCTGCTAGGCTCTACCTCTTACTCAGTGTGTAACTGCTCATGCTTCTGAATCAGTGTCCATTTTTTCCCTGCCTCTAGTCACCCACTTCATGCTGGATCCAGGTGTGCATGTCCTAACCCAGCAGACTTTTGGAATCTTTTGTTTTTCTCAGCTCTGCAATACTATCCTTTTCTTCTCTCCAGTACACACAGAGGCAACCTCACCTCCCAATACATCCACTTCCAGGTCAGGAAGGCATTATACTTTTATGGTTGGAGTACAAGTGGGGTCCAGCTAATTCAGCTGCCTTAAAGGACTGGAGAGAAAGAAAAGGAAAAGGGAAGGAAGGGCTTGTGATGACCCATAATGGATCTCATTTTGTTTTGGCTTAACATTTTAGTCAATTCAGCCATTGTGATTTGCAAACTGCATGTTCGGAAATTGCATGTTGTATGAATTCAGCCAATTGTGATTTGTTAACCATGGTTAAACAAATTATGGCTTAGAGCCATGCTCAAACTAGGTTTACAATTCAGTTCTAGATCCAAAAAAGGCAGAACATTGTGGTTTCTTACCATGTAGAAATACTGTAGAGAAGAATTGTTTAACTGGTATAAATTACTTGAAAATATTTTATAATAAAACTTAAATAAAACTCCTCTGTTGACATTTGCTGTGATTTTGCATAAATGACTGTAATTGGAAAGTTCAAAAGAGGCTGTTCAGTAGTTTCATGTTCTGTATCACTTGGAATGTCAGTTTTGTTTATTATATTTTTAAACCAGCCATTGAGCGAAGCACATACATATTAAAAATATAATAAAATAACCTATAGAATGTATTTATTTATTAAATGTTTATTCCACTACAGTTTAAAGACTCTTGTTTCACATAATCAGAAATACAATATTAAAATGCTATATATAATAAACAATAAACCTGCAGCATTAGGCAAAGCAATAAGATCCTCAATAATAACAATAGTGACATAACAGCAGATATAGCTCCCTCAAACTAGCAGTCACTAAATCAATTACAGAAACAGAAAGGTATTTGCCTGATGTCAAAAAGATTATAACGTAGTCAGCAGGTGAACCCCTTTAGGGAAAATCTTTCTCAAATAGGGGATCACTATTAAAGATGTTCTTTCTTTTATCTCTACCTACCTTACCACATTCTCTAGGGCAGAGGTTCTTATCCTGGGATGCCTTGGGGGTCCATGGATAGATTTCAAGGGGTCCATGCACTTGGATGGGGAAAAAATCAGCACTTTATTTTCACTAAGCTCTCACAGAAATTTAGCTTGTTATTGGTTTATTGGATTAATAAATCTCATATATTACTCTATTACATTTTTATTTATTTATATTTCAAATCTACTCACCGCCCATTTCACTCAACAAGTGACTCTGGGCAGTTTACAATAAAATAAGAATAATAACCAATTAAAATTCAATAAAAACGGTAATCAGAAATAAATAATATGATCCAAGGGATAGATGATATAAATAAATTATCAACCTCTGGGAGCATCTTCAGGGTGCTAACCACCCTGGGTTGGGTACCTCTCCTTGAGCCCCACGGGAGCTGGCAGAACCAGGTCTTCATGCCTTTCTGGAAGGCTAGGAGAGTGGGGGCCCTCCTCACCTCTAGGGGGAGAATGTTCCATAAAGCGGGAGCAATGGCAGAAAAGGCTCTCTTCCTGGGACCCACTAAGTGACATTCTTTAATTGACGATGCCCATAACATACCTTCCCTGCCTGTCTGGGTAGGACAGGTCGATGTAATGGGGATGAGATGGTCCCTCAGGTAACCTAGTCCCATGCCATGTAGGGCTTTAAAGGTGCAATAACATATTAGTTATTTTTAATATTTTGATAACTGTGTTTGAACATCATTGGATTCCTTTGTAATACAATCTAGATCTATGTATTTTATGCATTTAAATATGTATTTCTGAGAAGGGATCTGTAGATTTCACCAGACTTTTGAAGGGTCCATGACACAAAAAGATTAAGAACTCCTGGTGTGAGGAACCTGGAGAAGTGACGAAGATCTCACTGTCTGGGTAGAAAAATGTGAGAGGAGATGCTTCTTTGTGTAATCTGGCCCCAAGCCACTTACGTCTTTGTAGGACAGCACAAGTACTTTGGACTGAGCCTGGAACTGTAGTGGAAGCCAGTGGCTGCAATGCACTGGCCTATGATTGCACTGGCCAACCCAGCTAGTCATTCAGCTGCTCTGTTTTGAAGTAATGGAGGTTTTTGAAACCATGTGCAGTCACAATCCCAATTCAGCATATTGCGATAATCCAATTAGAAGTCGTCGGAGTGTTCTGCAAGGCTCTCTCTCTCCAGGTGGAGTTATAGCTGGTGTTGTAGCTGGTGTATCAGTCTAGACTGGTACATAAGCCCTCACAGCCACTGAGACTGCAGTGATGAGTCCAGAAATAAGAACATAAGAATAATCCTGCTGGATCAAGCCAAGGGTCATCTTCGTCCATCACTTTGTTCCTTGTAATGACTAACCAAATACTGCTAGGAGGTAGAGAATATGGCATTTGGAGGAAGGCTGCTTCCAGCCCAGGGGTAACATTGCATGTTAAGACAAGCAGTATCTATGGGAGAGGCAGGTAAGGAAGGGGCAGAATGACCAAAGCAGTGTACATATAAAAGATATGGAGTGATGCTGCACATATGTATGTGCAGCTTGCAGTGCAATGACACATTGTTTCCATCATTTTGATGAATGTAGCAAGATCCTTTGAACACCCATGTTCCAGAAGAACAGATCTCTCCTATAAATGTATCCAATCCCCCTTTGAAAAAATCTATGAGCAAAGCTTGTCTTTAGTGTTGGGAACAAATAGTAGTTCCAGCAATGTGATTTTCACCAGGGAAACAGCATGTGAAGTTAAATCTCCTTGTTTTACACTGCAGTCTGGATCCCCCCCCCCCCAAATCTTTCTGGGTGGTTTCTATTTATAAAAGTTCCAGTAGAGGATTTGGGAAACTCTAGATTTCGCTGAAAAAAAATCTCAGCAATTCTCATAATTGGTTGTGACATCTAATGGAAAATGGAATTCAACATCTAGAGGGCCACAGATTCCTCATTTAAGACAGGATGGAGAAATGCATCTGTGTGTTTCTATTGGCATATGGAAGTAAGGTCCAACAGGCTTGGCTATGAAATGTAGGCATCAGGCAGCAACATCTTTGGGTTGTCTATGACAGCTCCTCGCAGATGAGCCAAAAGCAAAGAAAGGCTTCTTGGAGGGAAAAAAGTGTTATGTAACACGACAAGTACAGTAATAAAGTAAGTGGTCCAATTAGCCAGATGTGCTTCTCATACCAGGTGAAACACTGAAGGAATTAAAAACATGTATCTCTTATTTTGCTAAAATATAACAGTCAACAACACCATAAAGATATAACTTCCTTCTTCAGGTGTTTAATACTAGTCTTCCTTTTTAGCAACTTCGAATTGCAGTCACAGAAAAGGAAATAAACACCGTGGCTATCCCTTGAGAGGGTTATCCGAAAAAACCGCACGGCCAGGTGGCTACAGTCTACGAGTGTGTCCCTGTCAGAGCTGAAACAAAAGTTCAGGCGGACAAGATCTTAACACAAGAACGACTCTTTCCGGGCCTTGAAAAGCTTCTGCTTCCGTCGCTGCCAACCCGGGGCCGGGCGCTGCTATCCCACCGTCGCCCCTCCCCAGACGCCACCCCGGGCCGAGCCAGCGCGCGATTCCCGGGCGTCCCGTGACGCGTCCGCTCTGCTGAGCTTCCCCGACTCCTCCTCCGCGACTCGTCCCCGCTGGCACCCTTCGCCGCTCTTCGGGCGGTAGGTAGCCTCTCCTCGCTTGCAGTTTTCGGAGATGGTGGCAGGGCTTTCTTTGCTCACGTGGTGGCCGCCGGGAGGGAGGGTCTGTTTACTCCTTTTCTTTCTCGCTGGAAAGAGGAGAGAGCAGCTCGCGCGACGCGAGAACCGGCGCACCTTTCCTTCCTTTCTTTTTTTCTTCTCTCTTTCTTCCTTCAGCCCGTGGTGTCGCCAGTCGGCGGCACTCGCAAGAAGGACCCGGACTTCCTGCGACTGCAGCCGGCTGGGACGGTAGCTTGAAAAGAGAGAAAGAGTGCTCGGCGGTTGTTGGGTTTTGGCTTTGCAAGAAAACAAGAGAACAGCCAGCCAATTAATGCTTGGCTAGCTAGTAAGTAAAGTACGCAGACGGGCACCCCCATCTTCCCCAGATTTGTGGGGATGGCATCCGCAACTGACGGCTGGAAGCGGAGGTTTCTTAGTGGGAATGTATCCCCAGCCCGAATTTGGTCCTTGCTCCCATCCTAGTTTTAAGGCAACATGTAGGCCTTACGGCCGCAGACCTACTTCAGTATTTAACCCAGCCTTATCAGGTTGAGGCTAGTAGAGAGATGCGTTTTTCCGAAGAATGTGTTGCCAGGTTTTGCAAACCTAGGTTCATTTATCCAGGAGTGAACCCCACTAAACTCAGTGGGAATTTGACTTATGAATTCTTTGCTGTTTTGAAAGCATTGTGTTGAGAATACATATTGGATCTTGCAAAGAATTGACAACAAATCCAGAATAGTTTGTGCTTGTCAAAAATGGGGTGGGGTGGGGTGGGGAGACAGAGAAGGAGAATAATGATTTCTTTTGACTTTCGTTAGTTAGATCTCTTACAAAATTCTCAGGCCCTTTACTAAAGGAATTAAAAGGAGATGACATTCATGGTCAAACATCTTGGAGTTTTAAGTTGATCAGTGTGTGTAAACAAGCTGACCTAAACTTGGAGAAACTGACTTCTAAAGGCATTTTCAAGTGAAAGTAGGCAGGCTTCCAAAAGTAAGTTTACAGTGTGCTTAGCCAGAATCTGCTACTTCTCTCTCCCTCCCCCTCCCCTCAAATATATTTTTATTCGGTTTGGATTGAGATATTATGTCGTAGTTAAATACTGGAGAGGTGCACTGGCATTGTTTGAAACTGTGATTCTGGATTAAGTGTTCAAAGCAAGTAAGAAAATGAACTGCTTGCCTAAACTAGTGGTTTGCTGACTCATTGACACTGTAGAGCAGTGTTTCTCAGCCTTGGCAACTTCTCCGCACTAATTGGATGCTGGTCTGGTGGAGATGCCTGGGGTAGGTTCTTGTCCAGTTATCTGGGTACGGTTTGACCCTGATGCTCCTGAAGAAGTGGACAGGGTCCTAGGGAATATGAGCTCAGCCACCTGTGTGTTAGATCCATGTCCCGCCTGGTTTGTGAAAGCCTCCCAGGAGGTGACCTGTGGGTGAATACTGGCGGTGGTTAATGCATCTCTGGAGGAGGGGGTGGTGCCTCAGCCTTTTAAAGAGGCTGTAGTTTGCCCACATCTTAAGAAATCATCGCTAGATCCTACCCTGATGGACAATTTTCATCCTGTCTCCAACCTTCCCTTTCTGGGGAAAGTTATTGAGGAGGTGGTCATGCTGTAGCTCCAGAGGATCCTGGATTAAACTGATTATCTGGCCCCTTTCAGTCAGGATTCAGGCCTGCATATGGGATGGAAACAGCATTGGTTGTGCTTTTTGATGATCTCTGGCAGGAGCGGGATGGGGTAGTGCATCCATCTTTGCTGTGCTTGACCTCTCTGCAACTTTCAATACCATTGGCCATGGTATCCTTCTGGGTTGGCTTTGGGGGTTGGGAGTGGGCGGCATTGTGTTGTCCTGGTTCACTTCTTCCTCTGAGGCAGTTCTCAGTTGGTGTTGATTGGGGGCAAGAGGTCCAGCCCTCGGCCCCTGCTTTGTGGAGTTCCACAGGGGTCGGTGCTTTCTCCACTCCTGTTCAACATCTGTGTGAAGCCACTGGGTGAGATCATCCGTCACCATGGGTGAGATATCATTAGTATGCAGATGATACTCAGTTGTACATCTCTGCCCATGGTGAGTTAAGCGATGCCGTGACCACCCTTTCTCAGTGCCTGAAGGCTGTTGAGGTCTGGATGGGGAACAACAGGCTGAAACTGAACCCTGGCAAGTCAAAGTGGCTTTGGGTTCAGGGCTCTTTGGTTTCTGCAGAATTACCATCTTTGGTCTTGGTTGGGGTTGCACTGGTCCAGATGGACCCAGTACGTAATCTGGGGGTTCTCCTGGACTAGCGACTCCTGCTCAAGGAACAGGTGGCAGTTGTGGCCAGGAGGGCCTTTGCGCAACTCCCCCATTCCTGGACCAACCTGCCCTTCTCACAGTCACCCACGCCCTAGTCACCTCCCGCTTGGACTATTGTAACGTGCTCTACATGGGGCTGGCCCTTGTCAGTGGGCCTGGGGACCCCAGGCTGGTTCAGGGCCGATCAAATGGTTAATTTGATTTGTGGCAGCTGGCAGGGGGGATGTGGGGATTTATTGGTTTTTGCACTATGGGTTTTAATTTTGTAAGCTGCCCGGAGTCATTGTGCTTGAGTTGGGCAGCCACGTAAATGTAATAAATAAATAAATAAATTTGAATAAACTTTCTCTCTCTGCCTCCAAAAATCTATATTAATAATGGAATTCTTTTAGATTGCAGAACATTCTGTTCTAAGAGCTGCTCTTTCAGTACCTAAAGTTGAAACAAGGCCTCTCTTTCCCCAGAACACATATTGGTCTAAATCAGTGACAACGATCAGATTTTTGAAAGCATCTGTAACCTCAGGATTCCTTAATACAAAGTTTATATGAGTGGCTGGATAGCATAGTGGTTAGAGTGCCACCCTTTGATGCTGATAGCAGGTTTGAATCCCAGCTGGTACCTACCTTATCGGTAGGGGTCCTTGGGCAAAGACCCCTAATGCTTCACCTGCCTACCTAGGATATGAGAGTGACATGAACTAAGAGAGTCATGCTGCTTGATGTCACCCAGATTAACAATGTCCACGCCAGATGTTGGGGAACCAGGACAATCTGACAATAAGTGGGCTACTGGAACAAACCATACA